TGGCACCTTTAAGACTAACAGAAGTATTGGGAGCATAAGCCATCTGAAGAAGTGAGGTTCTTACCCACGAAAGCTTATGCTCCCAATACTTCTGTTAGTCTTAAAGGTGCCACAGGACCCTCTGTTGCTTTTTACAGATTCAGACTAACACGGCTACCCCTCCGATACTATTCTATTTATTACATTTCACAGGAAGAATAAAAGAAGGTAACGGTCTTGCGACATCTGAAAAAAACTGACTGGAATTTTATTTAAAAAAAATTTACTTGTATTGTAGTTTAACCAGTTGACACACAAATTAACACACAGTAAGACAGTTCAGTATTTTTTACTTGAGTGGACTGAGCTGATCCTGGTCACAATGAAAGTCAAAACTGAACTCAGCTATTCTAGTCTTCTCCTTAAAACCATCTAGCGTGACTGTTCTGAGAGGCTTCAGAGGAATTGCAAGACATTCTGTTTAAATGGAAACTCCTCTCAAGTGCATTTGCTGAACACAATCAGGCCCTTCTCCAACAACTAAGTAATTAACATTTAATCGAGCATGTCACAATCACACTTGTAAGTTAACAATTTTATAGTTCACCACTCTGAATTTCAATGCCCAAATGTAAATCAGACAACCGTTCATCTATGTGAAATATCTTCACAACTAAAAATGTGAGATCAAACTTCATGAAAACAAGACAGACTCACCTGTAAGGGGATGTATTTCCACTCTGCCTGGTTTAGATTCTAATATACATACATACATACATACACACATCCACTCCAATGTACAGGTATTTACTTTCATAAAGATGCCACGTTTTGAAAATGTTAATTGTGTATATTAAAGAAAATTTGTATTCATGATGTATTGCAGAGGTGCTTTTGTATCTTACCTTTACATATACATTTCCAACTAGATGATCTCCAAGGTTATCACAAACGTTCATCTCCTCAACTTCACCATATTTTTCTTCCATTTCCGTGAAGACCTCCTAAATATAGAGAAATTTATTAAAAACATATTGTGCAAATTAGATGGATTAAACATATCTACAAGACAATTAATCATTACTAAGCAGGAAGACTATTCTCTCTCCCAACACCCTTCATACATTTTTGTTCTAAGACTGTAAATTTCTGGGCAGGCACTGTATCAGCCTGTGTGCATTGACAATATCTAATACACTGTGAGTACTACATGGATAAAGTAATTAACTACACAACTAAAAGGTAACTTTTCTGTATTTAGAAAATGAGATATACAAGACACTAAAGCCATGCCTTTTGGAAAGAAAAGCCAATCTTCCAGTCTACTACACTTAGGGTGACCAGATGTCCCGATTTTTGGGTCCTTTTCTTATATAGGCTCCTATTACCCCCGTCCCGATTTTTCACACTTGCTGTCTGGTCACCCTACACTTCAAAAATTATTAATTGTTTGCTAACACTGAAGTATACTTTTTAACTCAACTGTGTGAGGAAAAAGCAGAATGGGAGACACACCAAAAATAGACCATATAGTATTTTGTTTTGAAACTTAATCCAAGGTCTAATATAAACAATAGAGTTATATGTAAATTAAATAGAGACTACAGCAGGGACTATATGTTTAATATGTAAAACTGAAGTTATACAAAAAATATCTAGACACTAACAGGATACACATTTCAGTCAAGCAACCAAATGTCTAATTTGGGTTTTCTCCCCTCTCCACCATCCTTCCCTGATCACTCCCAGCATCCAATCTTATTATCATTTAAACAGTACACTCTTTGGGGCAGGGAGTGTTTCTTGTAATGTGCATTTAAAGCACTATTTATCAGATTAGAAGTGGTAAATCTGAGAGAATTATAGTCTTCCTTTTTCGGTCCCATCAAGGATTAGCTGGAAAGTTTATTTTTGTAATTTTTCACTGCCACCAACTAAACTTTATATGTTTGCCTTTGAAGAATATAATACATTTTAAACAGTGAATTTCAACATACCTCAAAGAATTCATCATAATGTTCCTGCATTTCAACATCGCTCACAGCACCTGCAAATTCCAAGAGTCATACTGATTAGAATCAATATTTGAATGACAAGACTCTGAACATACTACAAAATATATTTTAGAGAACAGAAGTAGTCATCTACCGAAGCATAAGAGATGCCATGTAGTTAACCATTAAGGAGTATTAAAAATAACTGAGCAGCTTTGAGTCCCAAAAGAAAGGAATATCTCAGTACGTGATACTAATATGGTCAAATCAAGACAAGTTTTAATCAGCATCCAAATGGTACATGCCAAATTTAAGGGGAAAGGATTTACTTTGAAATGTGAATAATTAAATGTAGAACCCCACCCTCTATCTGCCAATGGTTTACCTACACAGAAGGCAAGTGCTTTGTCACGTTAACTATTTTAAAGCATGATGATTATTAAGATTTCTCTTCCTAAAGGCGGAGCTTTGTTTAAAGATGTTCACTCCTCCAGTATAAATACACTAGTTTGAGAAATCACTGATGTGATTAAAACTGCAGCTCATCGTGATCCATTGAATTTGTTCAGAATACAAGATACGCTTTTCTTGTTCCCTCAGTAAAGAGTGAAACTATGTGGCTTTGTGGTAGAAAGCATTTCTCCATTTTATTTTTAATGCCAATTTATCTTTCTGTAATACTGCAGAATTTTTTTTTTTTTTTTAAATGCGAGAGAGGCTGGCCATATATTCACATTAGATCATATTCATGCCCCTAGCTGGCCTTTGCAGGTGAGTGCTGCTTGCCTGCTGCTAAAAAACTAATGTAAATTAAAATTTTGCTCATTTTTCGAAGTATTAAGTATAGCAAAATAAATTACAATAGATATTTTCAGTTCTACACCATTTTACCATACATTTTATTTAATAAGTCATATATATTAAAGCCAGATTAAGTCTTCAGTTAAATGGCTTTATTACGATCAAGTAGAGTAGCTTTAAAATAGATGTGGCACTTCATGCAAGAACAATGTTTTAACCTTTAAAATGCAACACCATTGCTTTACTGAGCAAAACCTGCAATATGACAGGAGGATGATCCAATAAAGCTATGTTTATTTGCCTCAGTCGCTGTGCAAAAACAGGTGCTCTGAACCCAGTCATTTCTGGATCACAGTGCAAATCATGCCATTTAGAACAGCTTTTCATCTTTACTGAAAGATGCTTAATATTAACCAATCAAGCTACCTAAGCTTCGTGGAACTATGGACAATTTTTCTCTATAAGGTTAAAGGGACACTGGTCAAGTAGTTTAGGCTCAAGATATTTGACCTTCCAGATTCAACATGTTTGCTTTTCAAGAGACCCTTGCCTATGCAGCAATTTAAAAAAACTCCTAAACATTTAGTCAACATTCACTACATAGAGACAGTTTAATAACTAACCATATTCCCAGGGCTGTGCCAACATCAACAATGATAGCACACTAACATCTGAGTGATTTAAAAAAAACCCATCAGTTTGGGCTCCATTGGAAGAAAGGGGCATGATCAAAGTTTACCAAATGGGAAAGTGCTGAAAACTGATACGGACATTCCACTGTAAAACTAAGATTATAAAAAGAAATGTAAAGAAATTGGAAGTACTCGAGAGTGTCCCTCTAAGGTGGAAAGGGTAAGCATCATACACAGACTTCACAAACATTCAAGTTCCAGGGCTACCAGTGTCTGAACCTTGAGAAGCCCAACTACTAGATAAAATCAAGACTATTACTGGTCAAAATTAACATTAATCTTCTATGACAACAATGGAGAGGAAAATAGTAAAGCAACAACATTAAATAGCTACCCATTAAGAATATATGCAGTATTTAAATAGGGACAAAGCTGAAAAGATATGGGGAGGGTTTCAGCACACCCATTGATAAAATAGAGCTATAACTCTACCATACCAGGTATAGTTAGGCTCTGTTATACAATTACCCATCTATCAAGACAAACTAAAGTTTAAATATTAATATCCAATTCTAGTTTGGAGAATCTGTTTACCTAAAGACTCCTGCAAACTCCAGGAGGGTCTGGGCAAATAAAGTCTAAACAGCTGCACGGCAAACCAAGCAACTTTAATTCTGTGCAAATTAGTTACCAGCTCACTGAGAATTTAGCTGATGTGTAGGAAGTACCCAACATCCAACTGCATATTTTTAGCAATACACAGATAGTAACACCGTAAACATCTATAACAAAAAGCCTATAGGCCAACAGAACTTTATAAACCCATACAAACTTCATAAGCAACATTCTACTTCTAAAGAAAAGCCCCAGTTTGACAACTGACATTAAGTGTCAAGTCGATCTAATCAAGTGCATTAGTTTTGTTATAAGATATGCTGTTTATGCTATCCTATAAGTTGTTTATCTTATGAATCACATTTCACTCTGAAATTAGTATTTGATTTCATACAATAGAATGTTGTCTAATTAAATACTGGTAACCAGTGTTCCCTCTAATTGTTCCCACCCATGTGTGGAATGAATTTTGTTATGTGCACCAATATGGAGGTGGTGTGTGACACATAACCTTCATTTTGGTGCACACAACAAAATTCATGTGGTGGGCTGCAGGCAAGGGTTTGGAGAGTGGGAGGGGGCTCAGGGCTGGGGCAGAGGGTTGGGGTGCAGGGGTGTGAGGGCTCTGGGGTGGGGCCAGAGATGAGGGATTTGGGGTGCAGGAGAGTGCTCTGGGGCTACAGCAGGAAGACAGTACTCCCCCCAGCCCTCTCTCCCCACAGCAGCACCTGGAGGGGGGGGGGGAGGGGAGTGTCTGGGGGGCTGGGGCCACAGGATAGGCACCCCACCTCTGGCCCCCACAGGTCTGGCCGGTGCTAGGTCAGGGAGCGTTATCCTGGCCGTGACAGGCCCAGGCTGAAGCTAGATTCAAGGACTGCCACCCTGGTTCATGCCATGCTGCCCTGCCCGGATTCGGGCTGGGGTAGGGGAGCCCCGGCCGCAGCAGGTCCAGGCTATGGCATAGTTGGGGCCAGGGAGCCGCCCCAGCCCAGCAGGCTGGGGGCCGGACAAGGTTGGGGCTGGGGGAGGGAGGGTTCCCTGAACACCTGTGCGATGCTAAATAGGCTGCTGCACGGCCATACAGGGAACTTAGCTGGTAACTAATCCAAACTAGTCTATGATCCAGCAGTTAAAAAAGTAATAACTGAACAAAACTTTACCACCACATGCTCAATGTTCAATTTGTTATAAAATATTAGAAAAATAACACCCATCTTTTTAGTTCTAAAGCCCTTAACGTCTTTTTCTACTAGTGTCATTGGTTCAATCGTAATGACAGATCAGTAGTCACAAATTGACAATCTCAGTCATTTAACTTCTGTCATGATGCACAGTACGAGACTTTTTGCCCATTTCCTAACTACAGAAGAGTTAAGAAATTAGTTCATAACAATATCCAAACTGCTTCCTTTCCCCAAGTGTACTTTTAAAATTATTTCCTACTATGAAAATATGTAACTTAGTTCTGGAATTTGAATTTTCAAAGTAAGGGAGAATTTTCAACATGCACTTATCCAAAAGGACAGCTGCAGAAGAGTAGCATTTGTCAGTCTATTTTTATCTTCTAAAGTAGTCACTAAATGGGAGCTGCATCATTAGCCTAGGACAAATATTTTTGCAAGCAGTCTTAAAGTTCCAAATTTGAGTGCTCTCAACATTAACATAATGATGGGAAACATGTTATGGATTAAGTTAATGTGTGACTGTCCTGCTTTTTGAGCAGCGAAGTCTAATGCATACCTTTAAAACATACAGCAAAAATATGTCTAGGATGCAGGCAAGTGGCAGAGGGGAAGAAGGGGGAAAAGGAGACAGCAGTGGATCAAGACTGCTTTACAGGGGTTCCCAATTCAACCACTTTTGATATAATGGACAAATATCCAATTTCTCTTAAACAAATTCTTGTGTGTGGGGGGAGGGTGTGTGTGAAAAGGACAAAAAATTGTTGACACATTTTATGAAGCGTGGGCAGTTTGATCCATTAAACTAAAATGGTAGACCAGCTTAAGTCGACACTGAGCTCTGACAATCAAGCCCAGGGAACCAGTGAAGGAACTTGTATGAACTTACAGCGCAAACCGTCAGCAGACTGGGAAGAGTTTTGAGGGTTACGGTAAATGTTCAAGAGGGCAATGGTCTGAAATACAAAACGCAACAACTTTATATTATGGAAAAGAAATTTAACACGAAACTGGTTTCCTTTTGGTGATCGCTTTAGCCGAGTCTCAGTGCTGAAAGAGAGGTAGTTATTTTCTCCCAAGAGGGGAAATTTTCACTTAGCTGGTGACCTTTCTGAACCAACCTAACACTGTAAAGCAATAGAGATCTCATGATACTCGATTACTGTATTTTTACTTTAACAGTTACTTTGCTCACCTCCATTACAATTGAGGTGTTTACATGGAGTTCAATCAAAAAAAGTTTCCAATATAATGAATGGTATCCAAGTGTCATAGTAACAGCTGTAACATGTAAGGTATCAGCATACTCAGATGTTTGATTTTGGCCTTATTGAACAATTAGTGAATAAAACAACCCCTCAAAACATACTAAAACCAGCACAGACTCTAATGTATAACACAGTAATCATGGTATAACATGAAATCTCCATTTCCTAAAGAAAGGAAAGGTGAAATAAAATGCATGATTTTGGGCAACTTACCGTATATTATAAATATACCTAAGTTTTCATATTATATCAAGAATTTGAGAAATGCTTGCAAAGTAATCATTTAAAAAAAATGAATGCAACAATAAGTGACAGGGCTTAACAGTTACAGGATGTAATGCTCATGAACTGTGCAAATGATTTTGAATCAAGGAAGTCCAATTAGTTTATCTTTTTATAAAAGTCACTTTCTGCACTTTATAAACACGTACATTTACCAAGTTCTTGATATATGCGCAAGAAGAGTTCCATCACTTGTCCTGTTTGCAACAGCTTTATGTCAGCAGCTCAGAAGCCAACATTATTTTCTCATAATTATGAGTGGGCTCTTTAACACCATTCTTTAAAAAAATTTCTCCAACTGTGGGACTTACAGTGTGAGCCGTCAGCCGTCTGTGCACTGTTTTGGGGATTACGATAGATGTTTTGAATCAAGATGGTCTGCGGGGAAAAAAAATAAAAAGGGGAATTCTACTGGCTGCTGTGCATATAACAGACAATTGCAAAGAGACAACTATTCATAAGATATTTCCTTTTGTATTTGCAGAGTATCTTCTGAAACTGCATCCAAACCATCATATTATGAAAACAGTTTTAAATTAACCACCAAGAAAGAGCTGTGTTTGGTTTCCCTAGTGAATTGTCCCAAGTATATTTACTGAAACTGTTTATTTGAAGTAAGTGTATGACATCTTGTGTCATAAGTACAATGTCACCTTGCACTTCAAGCTGCTCAGTTATGCAGATATCCAAATTTATCTTAATTTAAACCAAATTCACTACTGTAAGCCTCGAAAAGCTGCCTTTGTATCAGTGCACAGTACATAGCATGTGATGCTGTAAAGTCTTTAAACTGTTGCCTCAGATATCAAGTTTTTCAAATATCAACTAGATACCCGCTACTGTCTCATCAAGCAGTTTCTTGGTGGAATTTCTGTTTAAATAATATAATAGTTTTAAATGTTCACGTTTTCCGATCCTTCAATAAAGATCAATATCCTTTTAGCCCTTCTGCTTTTTACTTGAAGAATTAGACCAGGCAGGCTTGAAACCTTACATTTGTACCGTTCTTCTTAAAATCAAGTTGTCTGAAAAAACAAACCATGTTTAAGTTAGTAAACTAATATTACATAAAATTCCAATGTCCATATAACTGTAATCAGCTCAAAGAGATTTAGATTTAATTACTTAATATACAAGTTTAATGTTAGTTTGCATGAACTTTCATCCCCAATTGAATTTAACTGGTGCAACACTTTTGTTTTTTGATGCCACCAAGAGATTAGAACCTGTTAAATTACATTTAAATCATATACTGATTTTACTAACACATCAACCAAACCAATACCTGCACCAGTGGTGGCAACACAATAAAATATAACCATGGCAATAGCTCTCTATTAATAAGATCTGTTCCTCAATTTTCTATCACAGCTGATTACCAATATTTGCACAAAGTCTTCCATAATTAACCTATTATCACGTCAGATTCACTAGTGACATCACAATCCAGCTTGTGTGTAAAGTCCAATGCCACACACACACACACTAGACTGTGACTTCACAACATGACCCTGTCAAGCCCAGCAGTTCACTTCAACTGACATCAGCTAAACAAGGACTAAATTGCCAGAGAGAAAATTGCTGGTCCAGGTTATCGAAACAATTACTTTTAAACTCAGGTTTAAAAAGTGATTTCTGAAAACATGTTTAAGCCAGACAGCATGGATGGCAAGTATCTATTAGATGTGTTGTTACAGGAAATCAGTGAAAGAGTTAGGAATCGAACCCAAGTCTCCCTACAACTAGGCCTGCGCTAACCCACATATACTAAACAAATTTGTAATCATCTAGAGGATAACAGGGTTATAAGGAATAGCTAGCATGGATTTGTCAAGAACAAATCATGCCAAATCAACCTAATTTTCATCTTTGACAGGATTACTGGACTTGTGGATAGAGGGAAGCAGTAGCTATGATGTATCTTGATTTTACTAACATTTTTGACGCAGTCCCGCATGGCACGCTCATAAGAAAACTAGGGAAATGTGGCCTGGATGAAATTACTATGAGGCGAGTGCACACCTGGTTGAAAGACCGTACTCAAAGAGTAGTTATAAGTGGTTCGCTGTCAAACCAGGAGGGCATATCCAGTGGGGTACCTCAGGAGTTAGTCCTGGATCTAGGACTATTTAACACTTTCATTCATAACTTGGATAATGGAGTGGAGAATATGCTTTAAAGTTTACAGATGACATCAAGGTTGGGGGAGTTGCAAGCACTTTGAAAGACAGGATTAGAATTAAAAAAACCCGGACAAATTGGAGAACTGGTCTGAATTCAACAAGAGGAAATTTAACAAAGATAAGTACTTCACTTGGGAAGGAAAAATCAAACGCACAACTACAAAATGGGGAATAACTGTGTAGATGGTAGTGCTGTTGAGAAGGATGGGGGTTATAGTAGATCACAAATTGAATATGACTTAACAGTTGCGAAAAACAGCCATGAAAAAGGCTAATATTCTGGGGTGTACGAACAGGAGTGTCAAATATATAAGACATAGGAGGTAACTGTCCCACTATACTTGGCACTGTTGAGGCCTCAGCTGGAATACTGTGTCTAGCTCTGGGTGCTACAATATAGGAAATGTGTACAAATTGGAGAGAGTCCATAGGTGAACAACCGAAGTGATAAAAAGTTTAGAAAGCTGACATCTGAGGAAAATGGTCAAGAAACACTCGGCATGTTTAGTTTTGAGAAAAGAAGACTGAGGGGGGACCTGAAATCAGTCTTCAAATATGTGAAGGGCTGTTAAAAAGTGGAATAAGATCAACTTTTCTCCATGTCTCTGGTAGGACAAGAAGTAATGGGCTTAATCTGTAGCAAGGGAGATTTAGGTTCGGTATTAGGAAATACTTTCTAACTAGAATGGTAGTTAAACTCTGGAATAGGCTTCCAAGAGGTTGTGGAATCCCACTCATTGGATGTTTTTAAGAACAGATTTGATAAATACCTGTCAGGGATGGTCTAAAGTTTATGTGGTCCTCCCTCAGCACAGGGAGCCGGACGTGACTTTCTCAGGCCCCTTCCAGCCCTACATTTCTATGAATCCATATTGTAATATTAAAACAGCTTTTAAAAATACATGGTTTCTGACCACTCATTAGCATAGCTATGTTTGCAAGAGGAATTTTAAAGCAGCTTCTTAAAATGGGAGAACTCTATTGTAGACGAGATATTACAAGCGGTCTCTCCAGGTCACGGTTAAGGCATATTAGCAAGGCACTTCCACTGTTGCATATACTGCATTTCTGTGGCTAAATAGCTGGAAATGCAGGAGCTTTCCTAACCACTAAAAATAATTTATTAAATGAGAAATCATCTCTTTACCTGCATATCTTGACAATCAGCAATGATAGAAAACAAAGTAAATGTAAGTTGGAATTTAAATGTGGAAATTTTCCAGGAGCATGGAAGATGTTCTTTGAGAGAACTGTAGTGCTAACAAATCAAAAATACATGTCAATCAATGCCCCTCTCTTTTTAGCCTAAATCCATTCCTCATTTCACAAGTAACATTTAACCAGCCACAGACTGGACAATATGTAGAGCCAATTGTTGTATATCCTTAAGCAGCTAAGGTAGAGAAGCAATTCTTCCACACTCAATGGGCTAAGCAAGTGACCGCTAACACTTTTAGCCTAGGCCAAAGATCACGAAGGGGCGGGGGAATCTCTTCTGACCATGTCAGATAAGGAAGCAAATTTGCTTTAAAAAAAAAAAAAAATCTTGGAAGTTCTCACATTTGGGATGGGTAGAACATGCTGCCATTGTTTGTGATGTAATCAATCTAGGATGGTTTAAGTGCCTAAACATCTCTGAGAAAGCACACACCTTACAGTTAGCACTGTTTGGTCTCTACTATAGACAAGCTTACAACAGCATTGCTCCCTGCAACCATTAGGGAGATAGGAGACCATTATAAATGCTGGGGGAGGAAAATGGAGGAAAAAACACTCCCTCCCCAGAAAAAACACAAAGTTTTTTGGCCTCAGTTAATTCTGGATATGGTAATTATTCATTTGAAGTGCTTAGAACCTACATTTAAAGAGATATGTACATAAATTCTACAAGAGGGAACAAACCTGGCTAAATGTTGGTTTATTGTGCAATCGAGAACATCTGTCCCCGTGACGGCAAGCTCCAATTTTGAAATAAAATGAACAGTTGACTCTGCAAGTAAAAAACAAGAGATAATTAGTTTATGGAAATACAAGGCAAGAGAATATTAATATGCAATTAGCATTTAACATAAAATGCACACTATCAACTTAACTTTAACGCACAATTACATAGGTCAATCAAACCAATAAAGTCCAAGACAGTAATGGAACTGGTTAGTTTATACTGATTCCCCCTCATCCGTGACCTGAGAGATCTGCTGAACTCCAGGACAATCAAAAGCACACAGAGCAGCTGCAATCTAAAGTACTTAAGTGTACTTATTCAGTACCTTGTTACATTCAGCATCAGTCAGTGGGAAAATATTCTCACCTGTAACCACTATTTTTTCCATTTGTTTCTCCTCCTTCCTCATCCTTTCATTTCTCCCCTTCCTCTCTCTCTCTTCATCCAGGCAAGCCCTAATTCTTTCCTCCCTCTCAGTCAGCTTCAGTCCCATCCCACCAGCTAAAACAGTCAACAGTTAAATAGTTGACAGTTAAGGGATGTCTACACTGCAGCTGGGAGGTGTGATTCCCAGCACAGGAAGACAGACTCCACTATCATAGCTCCCCTCTCTCCCTGCAGCCTCCAACACACAGTTCAATGCCCTGCTGGCTCCCAATGAAACATACAAACTGAACACATAGAATTTCTAATTTCACAAATGCAAACAACTGCTAGACCTAGCCTTGACTATTTCTCTTTATCATCAAGAGGTAATTTGTACCACAGTAGCATAAACTGCCCATGAACCAATGAGAACAGGACTTATTTACCTTGGTTATGAAAAGTAAGCACAGGCTCTAGATAGTACAGAGAGCAAGGAGAGTGAAAACTGCCAATAAGTGCTATATGCATACACAAAGCATAACCTTGCTTTTGTCTCAATTTACTTTTCTTTATCCATACACTCACAATTTACAATAATTCCTTCATATTTCCTTTTGTCGAGCTGAAAAGGAAACCAACTTGTTTACTGGCTATGTCCCCACTGTCCCCCCCCCGACACACACACCTTAACTGTGGTATGTTCACTACAGCGACTAAAAAGCAGAACTTAAATAATTGGTAAATTTCACATTGTAGCTCCAGCTGCAAAGAACAGACAGAGGAACAGAGTGAAAAGCACTTAATTCTAATGGGCTGTGCATAACACATGTTGCATGTTGACACCAATGATTTTAATAAATTCCACTTTGCAGTCACAATTACAGGCATGGAAGAAATCTGAAGGGTGTTCAACTGTACATTTGGGCTTCTAGGCAGCAACTTCTATCACCAGATCACAGCATGAAACATTCAGCACACATTAAAGATTATATTCTAATTCACACCTGGCCTACACCTAGAATTTAGGTTGATTTAGCACAAAACTTTTCACAGCCCTGAGCAATGTAGCTAGGTTGACCTAACCCTCACTCTATGCATCCGAAGAAGTGAGGTTTTTACCCACGAAAGCTTATGCCCAAATAAATCTGTTAGTCTTTAAGGTGCCACCAGACTCCTTGTTGTTTCTAACCCTCACTGTAATCACAGATGGGAGAATTCTCCCATCAACCCAGCCACTGCCTCTCAAGTTTGGTCTACAGTGGCTCTCAACCTTTCCAGACTACTGTACCCCTTTCAGGACTCTGATTTGTCTTGTGAACCCCCAAATTTCACCTCACTTAAAAACTATTTGTTTACAAAATTAGACATAAAAATACAGAAGTGTCACAGCGCACTTCTGACAAACTGCTTACTTTCTCATTTTGTATTAAATTTTAGTTTGTACTGACTTCGCTAGTGCTTTTTATATAGCCTGTTGTAAAACTAGGAAAATATGTAGATGATTTGATGTACCCCCTGGAAGACTGCTGCATACCCCCAGTAACATGTGTGCCCCTGGTTGAGAACCACCAGTCTACACTAGCAACTTATGTCGGTATAACTACGTGGCTCAGGGGTGTAGAAAACGCACACCCCTGAGTGACACAGTTATACCAACCTAACTTCCTATGCACTATGTTGATGGGAGGGCATCTCCTGTTGACAGTTACCACCCTCTTGTGGTGGATTACCTACACCAACAGGAGAAGACCCCTCCCATCGTTGTAGGTAGCATCTTCACTGAAGTGCTCCAGTAGTACAGCTGCATCAGTGCAGTTTTGCTGCTGCAGCATTTTAAGTGTAGACAACCCTCAGAGATGGATATATTACAGCAGTGGTCTCCAACCTTTTTATGCACAAGATCACGTTTTGAATTTAAGATCAACCCAGGATCTACCCAACCCCTTCCTTGAGGCCCTGCTTACTCCATTCCCCCCCTCCCTCTGTCACTCGCTCTCCCCCACCCTCACTCACTTTCAGTGGGCTGGGGCAGGGGGTTGGGGTGTGGGAGGGGGTGCAGGCTCTGGGCTGGGGCCAAGGGATTTGGAGTGTGGAAGGGAGCTCCAGGCTAAGCCTGGGGCAGGGGTGCAGGAGTGAGGGGTCCAAGCTCTGGGAGGAAGTTTGGGTGCAGGAGGGGGCTTAAGGCTGGGGGTTACGGTGCAAGAGAGGGTGTGAGGTGCAGGCTTCGTCCGGGAGGCGCTTACCACAGGCGGCTCCTAGTCGGCAGCGCAGCAGGGATCAGGCAGGCTACCTGCCTGCCCTGGCCCCACCCCACTCCCGGAAGTGGCTGGCTAACCGGCCCCTTCCTCCACTGCAAAAGAGACTTGCCGGCAGCAAGCCACTTCCAGGAGCGGCGTGGGGCCAATGCAGGCACCTGCTGTGCCACTGGACTTTTAGAGGCCCGGAGATCATGATCGACTGGCAGAGGCTCCAGGATCGACCAGTCCATCACGATCGAAGGGTTGGTGACCACTATATAACTGCGATGGAAAAACCTCTTCCATTGCTATAGTATGTGTCTACACTATAGCAGTACTTGTAGTGTAGACATACCTTCAGATGCATGTCTCAGAAAAAAGAAAAGAAAACAGAATACTGAGTTCACTCCAAATCCAAAGCTAAAAGCCTAACTACAAAACCTCTAATAATTCATAATATCCTCAACAATTTCAACTCAGTGACAATTTCAAAGTTTCATTTTCAGTTCTCCTCACAGAGGATGAATGGGACTGATGTGGGGGTAGGGGAGGGAATCATGTGCAGTCCCTAAAGGGATCAAAAATGCTTGCACGATTAACATCAATCCATTCCATCAAGTAGGCAGCAACATTAGCAAAATTCAAAAGCCACATACCCTCATTTTCTGACAGAAGGATGACCATGAGCCATCAAAAATCCACTTGGGCAATGACAGAATCAACGGCATCACCCATTTCTACAGAACCTAAGCTTGTTTTTAAGAGCAAAGCTAAACAAACAAGCAAAACTGCTGGCCGTCGAGTTTGCAAAAATGAATCTTCCAGACATCAATCAAGTGTAACGAGGATGCTGTGCTCATTCAGGAGCACTAATGTAACGGCTCCAGGGCCTTTACTGATCAGAGCTTCACGAGCAGCAAAGCAACAGCAGAGCCGGGAGGGTCGTTTTCGCTATTGTAACCCAGAGCAGCAGGACCTGGATGGACGCGGCCGCAGGGTGTCGAGGAGGAGGCTCTATAGAGGGCGGTGCGGGGAAGGGAGCTACTAGCTTGAGCAGACTTTGAAAGGAGCCCTCGGCGGGGCGCTGGGCCCCATCCCCAATTGTTCACGGCTCCAACCCGGGACACGAGGACCCGCCCGGCGGGAGGCGCGCCCCAGAGCGCGTGCCCGCAGCACGACGGCAGACTCTGACCGCCAGGGGGAGCGCGGGAGAGCACGTGGGGCGCTGCTCCGCGCGCACAGAGTGTTCCCCTCCCTCCCCCCGAATGCGGAGGTGTCCGGGCCGGCTCCCCATGGGGATCGTCGAATAAGCGCGTGGAAAGGCTCTCTGTCGCGCGCAGCCCACTTGGCGCGGGGACAGTTAGCTCCGCTTCCCCACACGGCGGTTACCCACTGCGCGCGCGGGCCTGGTCTCTGGGAGGCAGCGCGCGCCGCCCAGTTTCCTCTCCCACCCACAGGAGGGAGCGCGCGCGCCGCCACGTTCCAATCACCAAGGCCGCTCCGCCTGCCCCAGGACGGGAAGCAATAAACTGCGGCGGCGGCGCAGGCTGGGCGCGCGCACGCGCGCTCCATGGCGCGAGAACCCAGCGAGGACCGTGGGGGGAGACCCCACGTTGAAACCCATTATATGAACAGGCGCCACGAGCCCGAGCCCCGCCATCTCTCCCCTGCAGGGTACCCGGAGCGCTGAGCCGCCGCCGGTGGCGCGGCTACGGGCACAGGGCACTCACTTGTCCTTCTCTGTGCCGAAGATGGAGGCCAGATACTCCGCCATCTCCCACCACCGACCGACCGCCGGAGAGGCCCCGGCGCCGATTGAGTGCGTCACAGCTTCGCGCCGGAAACACTCCACCCCGCCCACCGCCTTCCAGCCACTGACCAGAGCATGGGGGAGGGGCTGCTACCATCCGCGCATGCGCCTCCACCGCCTCACCCGCTTCCCTTCCGCGGCGGGGGCCTAGGGCCCGCGTTGTTCTCAGACTCAGTCAGCGCGGGCTCCCTCAGCCCCGCGCGCCCAGCCTGGCCCCGCCCCCAAGGCTCCCGAGCCCTACGGCGGCCCGGCACGTGCAGACTCTCCATATGTCACGGGACTGGCTCAAATCAGCGGGGGTCAAACCCCAGCCGGGACAGGAGCTGCTCGTGCAGAGCTTCCCCCCCCCCCCCGCGGGGTCTAGTAATTGGGAATCTTAGCTGAGGTTCCCACCTGATCAGGGGACTCCCGGCGCTGGCGCTTTCAGGGCAGCAGCTCTGCACTGTCAGACTCCTGCTGCAGTCACAAGGGTTGGCAACACTGGCTTGTGCCCCTGGCCATAAGGGTAGCCAAGGTCCAAATTTCTTGGTCAAGGTCCAGACTCCAGAAGAAAGTAATTTTAAAAAAAGGATGATCATTAAATAAAAAGATTTCAGGGTCTGTTCAAAAGTGTCTGGGGGTCTGGATTTGGCCCATGGTCTGCCTGTTGACTACCCCATCAGCCACCAGGAGCGGGCTAACAGCAGGGCAGGGCTGTGCTGGGTTTTGAAGAGGAAATAGCGAAAAGGTATAAAAACAAACCACAAAAAATCCTTTAAGGACATCAAAAATAGGAAATCGATATTCCCCAAACAGAGTGTATAGTGTGCTTCTAGTCCTATGTAAAGTTGTACAGTAACTATCAGGGTATGTATGGAAATCAGTGGAGAGGATTATGGGATGCTTCTTTTGTCTAAAACCGAAATAAGTGTCTGAGACCATCTCTAAACACAAATTTTATACCTCTACTGAAGTGATTAGGACAAGTCACGTGCATAAAGTTGTACATATGCATTTGTATCATTGGGGGGCCAAAAACAATCCTAATTGAAATGAACAGGCACTCCAGTTCTGGGGATAGGGGAATAAAAATGGCAACTGAAAAATGCGCTGAACACTTATTCTTCTGGTTGGTTACAAAAGAGACCTTTACAAATATGTTTGCTTTTTAATATGCAACAAAAGTTTTAGTAACATTACTGTACTTTGACAATGATTTCATCCAGTGAAAGGCATTCAGTTGATCTCTAGGCATTTGACAGCTGCACACAAACAGAAAATGCCACTGTGTGCGTCAGCTGAGCTAGTGATTGTCAGTAAGGGATGCATCAGGAAAACAAAATAAAATGAACTTGGCAAGAGCTGATAGGTATGCACTGACATTTTAAAATAACTTTGGACACAAACCTTTGCTCAAATATCTCTCTTAAAATGGTAACTGCCAGGCTTTGATGAATGGATTGCTATATTGCTATAAGTACTTGTGTCAGTTATCAAAATGCTATATAACTTTTCTCCTTTTAAAAGTCAATTTAAAAATCCCAGCGGCGGCACTGTATGAGTTATATTTATGTAGTGCTTTTCATCCTGAAAGAATCCAGAACTCTTCTCTAGCTATAGACATACAGCACTACTGAACTGGAGCCACCTGGACTCAGTTCTGGGCATCCTGTTCTTAAAGATGTTATGTCCTTGTCCTAGTGCAAAAAGGGATCCCTGCTTTATGGCTCTGGTGAGACCCTGCTTGGGATCCTGTATTCATTTCTGGGCACCTCAAAAGGCATCAGGACCCAGAGCAAGGGTTAGTCCTTTCTGGCATATTACTTTCAGTTGTTATCAGGAAGCTTTTGATAAACTGAATGGAGTTCAGAGAATAACAACAAAAATAACCGAGCCTTTGGAGGCCCTGATTTATGAGGAAAATTTAAGATAGGAAAATTTGGGTTGCTTGGTCAAAAGACAACTGGGAGGGGGAAGACATGGGATAATGTGCAACACTGTTAACATGAAGGAAGGAAAGGAACTGCGTACCGTTAGAGCTGGTCAAGAATTTCCCATTTGAATCATTTTCTGAGGGAAAATTCACTTCCTGCAAAATCAACATTTTCTGCTGGAAAATTCAAATTTTTATTTTTTCCATCAGAACATTCTTCCCACCTCTCCGGGATTTCAGTAGATAATCCCCAGGAGCCCAGAGCAGGCTGTTGGGAAGTTCACGTTCCTAGGCTCCAGGGCAGCCTGCCTTGGAGCCAGGGTTTCCCATAGGCACTGGAAGTAGGGGTGCAGGGGCATGCTGCAGCAACCCCAGGTTTTGCACCTGGCATCCCGGCCGCTGGTCCCGCGCCCCTGCCGCCTGGGGTCCTGGCCGTCAGCCCCGCTGCTGCCCAGAGGCTCCGCTGCTGGCCCCGGGTCCTGCTCAGCTGCGGGTCCTGCTTGGCCGCTGGCCCCACATGCGGGGTCCCAGCTGCTGGCCCCGCATGTGGGGTCCCGGCCACCAGTCCCTCACCCGGGGTCCCAGCCGTCAGCCCCATGCCCCTAGCTGTGGCCCCAGCCTCTGCCACCTTACCCCTGTCCGCATCCCTCCCTCCTGGAGCCATAGCCCTGCTCCCGGTCCCAGCTCTAGGAGGTGGTGAGGGGCGTGGACAGGATGAGAGCACCTCCACTCCAAAAACTGTTCCAGTGCCACTGGGATTTCCACTTCCTTGACAGCTGCCTGACTCCCCATATGTTGGGCTGCAGGAACCCCAGGCAACAAAGGGAGCCTGGGAAACATTTTGAAAAAGATCAAAATGCATATTTTGACTTTTTCAAGACAATAATTCAGAATTGCCATTCTGCAGGATATTTTAAAATTTCCATTTTTTGTTCTGCTTTGGATTTTTTTTTTAATTTCTGGAATTTCCCACAGAATGAGAATTCCAGGTCCTGCCCAGTTCTATTTAGGGTGACATAGTGCAGTATAACTTGGAGAAATGGGAAGAGACTAAGAATTTAGGCCAGATATTAGCAAATCTTCCCCCGGAGATGAAAGGTTGAGATGTCCCTATGATACCATAGGTGCTGAATCAAAATGTCACCACATGGCAGTCTGATTGCTATGATAAGGGTAACATGTAACAGTCAACATCCTAATTTCTGTTCTGTGGCAGTATCAATGACTTCCAGCATGCAGACAGCTTGATGACATCAGCTGATGGACAGGCTCTCTGATTCTACTCTACTGCTGATCTTCACAGGGGCCTGCTAGAAGGGCTTCCCCATGAAATATCGTCTCATTTGCCTTTTGGGTACTGGAGTTCTGTGGCTGCCTGCTGCTTTGTGCCAAATGGGCTGGTCATTTGAAGTGCCATGATCTAGGTGGCAAGACTGCAATCATCCTGCAGCATTCTGAGAGCTGGAATGAGAGAGGAAAAGAAACACCTTTTGAATGACTGTCTTTGTAAGTTATTGCCAAAGGACTCTGGTTCCTTTCAGCAAGTGGGCAGTAGCTACACATGAGACTGGGCTCAGATCTTCTGTAGAGAGGAAGGGCCACATTTTCAGCGCAAAAAGAACAGGAGTACTTGTGGCACCTTAGAGACTAACAAATTTATTTGAGCATAAGCTTTCGTGGGCTAAAATCCACTTCATTGGATGCATGCAGTGGAAAATACAGTAGGAAGATATATATACACAGAGAACATGAAAAAATGGGTGTTGCCATACCAACTGTAACGAGAGTAATTAATTAAGGTGAGCTATTATCAGCAGAAGAAAAAAAAAACATTTGTAGCGATAATCAGGATGGCCCATTTCCAACAGCTGACAAGAAGGTGTGAGTAACAGAAGTGAGGCCCACTTGCACACCTAATTGTGTCCCTATACTTGCCTGTAGTTACTTCAGATTGACAATCGTTCAAACAAGAACAGAATTTGGCCCAGTGTTTCAGCAGCTGTAGTGATCCCCCACTGCTGCTGTTGCTCTTTTCGTCTGCTCTCTGTGTGTCGAGGGAGACTGTTAGGTGCTTAGAGAGTCTCTTTAGATAGTGACTGAATCTGTGCTGTGGTGTTTATAGTTGAGCAAATACTTCAAATCCAACTTGCTCATATGCTGGGCTTTCATTCGCTCCAGAAGTACAGTGGGGGGAAAAAACCCCGTTATCTTATGTTATTATAGGGCAGTAATAGTGTCAAGCTTTTTGGACCAAAGGCCCTGAACTGTGCATTGTACAATGATACTTTGCAGCGCATGGAATTCCAAGACTGACACTAAAGAGACTCTGCAGGTTTGATTCTTCTCTGAGACCCTAGGCTATTGGTTTCTCACTGGTCTCTTGCACTCTGACTAATTCCATAGTTAGTTGGATTTTGGGGTTTTCATTTTCTGATAACTTCAGATTTTTTTAAAAAAGCAGGCAAAATAATGCAACAGCGATTGCTGTTTTTATTGGCTTCAAAGGAGGGTGGGAGAAGTGTTAATACCCCCATTGTACAGATGAGATCTAGAGATAGAGTGACTTGCCCAAGGTCATGAAAGACATTTGTGTCAGAACTGGGAATTAAACCCATGCCTCCTACTCCAGTGCCTTAACCACAAGGCCATCCTTTCTCTCCCTGTGGGGAAGGACATAGAGCTTTGCAACCAGAAAGTAATTGAAAGGAGGAGCTATCTGTAGATTCTGTAAAACTCTAGAATGTTTCTCTTATTTAATATTACATCTATATATTTTTTTCTGTAAGTGAAATACAGAAGGAACATCATATCAAACAGTGGTAGTTTAGGGGGAGATCCTTCAGCAAATAAGCTATTTCCATTATGCAGGTTGATTGTATGCATCCCACTCCCCTGAACACTCCCCGCACCTCCAAAAAAAGCACAAACCATGTCAAATTTATCCTGAAAATGTATACAGGGGAGATTTTGTTAAGAAAAAAAGTCCAGTCATAAAAAGCTGCAACCTGAAAGACAATACACCTACTTAGGGCCCTATTCAGCTTTCTTTACTCAAACTTCCCAATGAAACCAGTGGGGGAGTT